AAAGCTGGAAGAAACATTTAGTGAAGATGGAAGTAACATTTACTAAGGGTTAGAAGTAATGTTTGGGAGCTGGAAACAAATTTAAGGAGGCTGGGAAGAAGTTCAACCTGGGAAAGTTTAAATCAATAACAAATCTTAGCTGTAATGGAAGGCGGAATACATAAATATGTGATATTAAATGTAATTCTGACATGATGTTGTAAAACTTTAACAACACTCCCGCCCCTCTCCCACTTTCTTTAATTAAATGATTTAACCCTAACTGTAATAAGGAAGTCAACAACTATTGAGGTCACCATGCTTGAAAGTTCTTTTTTAATTTTAAATTATGAAAATAAATGTTTAGTAATTGTAATACCAATCAAGGAGTGTGAATCCACTTATCAGCACAGATCTTTTACTGCAAACTTTACTTTTGATTGCTATAACTGATAGCAGTTATGCTACAAATAGAATTAAAATAATGTTTGTTCCAAATGACGTCAGTAAATATAATATAATGTGGTGTGATTATTTATTCATAAAAATGTTTGATTGAGACAAAGAAATGAGTAAACAGAAACTAAAAAAGTAATTGATGAATTTTTACCTGTTGTGGCATTGAAATAATTTCTCAAGTTCTTTGTTCAAGGTATAAAATCCTTGGGGCTCAACAGAAATCACCAAAAATGACAGCAAAGTAATCTTTCAGTCTTTTCCACACACTGTACCAGGTTCTATGATTACATTACACTTTAAGTAAGATCACATACAGTGGGAAAAAACACTATAATGAATAACATTTATAGCGTAAAAATGATTAATCTTTTTGAGTACAGGACTTTCTGTGCCTCAGGAAAAATCAGATTACACCCTGGTCCAGTAAGAGTTTTGTCCACATCATTGGTTTTGCACTCTTTGATAAATAATGGTTGTAAAATATCTATAGAATATATTACATATTTCTATTATATTCAATATTCTAAAATGTGGAAGTATTTGAGTCTAAGGCAGGACCCCTGAAATCTTAACATGACATTGATTTAAGTAAGAACTTTAATGAAGGCGCAAAGTCTTTACAAATGTACTCTTAGTCAGCCATTCAGTCAACTGTAATTGTTTTGCTAGTTTGCAACATTGCCAGTCACTTCATGCTGGATGGTTTAGTGCACGGGATTACAAAAATACATATGTTTGTCTTTTGTTTTGAATTTGAAATCATGCGCATTAAACTTTCAGTCAAGTGGATGGAGATATAATTGCAAACTAGTGATGCAATCAGCTGTCTGAGTGGGCTGATTAGTGGTATTCATAAATGTTGTGCCCATAGTAAACAATCTTGGTCTGTAAATTAAGAAAAAAAACTTTTTTTTCTTGATTAGATACTTAAAATGTGTTCTTTTCTCACTATATTTTTTATTTAATACTACATAAATGTTGTTTTGATTTCAGAAATATGCTTGCCTGACAGCTCGATCTGTGACGGACAGAATCACATGTAGTACGTACTATGACTGTATAGTACACCGTGATATGGCTTGTCTACATCCAGCATTGGATAAAAATACTTATTTATTACGTATTATTCATGATAGTGGACCAGCTGTATTGTTTGTAGGGGATCCATATTTCCTCACATACACTGGTGAGTTTAATGTTTTATGTATTTTTTTGTTTTCCTAGTACAGACACGGTCTGAAAAAAAGGACATACAGATTGACCTCTCTGCATGCATGCATTTGTATCATAATCATACATTTTCTACAGTCATCTTTGGATGGGTCCTGTCGGGTTCAAAATGACCGACTGGT